GATGTCCTAGACCTGGAACCAAAGAAAATTAGACAGAAAAGCAAAAGACAATCCATATTGCCTGAAAAAAAAAATCTACCCACTAAAGGGGAAGAAGATAACAAATAAGATTAGCATGGAAAACAAAGTAAGACCACCATCTATTTATTACTTGTGTGTCAGTTTGTCTGCATACTATATATGTGTTAATCCATTTAGAACTCCATAGTTAGTATTATCATCATCTCATTTAATAGCTGGTCTAGAACTGAGAAACGAGAGAATTTCTGGAGGTAAGAAGTGGGGTCAAGTTCAACTCCATGCATATGCTTTGGGCTCTCCCTCTTATGTTTTCATAAACGTGATGCAGTAGAGGGACAGATGCTGTATTTCCTTTCTTTGTGAAGCCCAATTTCCTATTGTGTGAAATGGGGATGTCATCCCACCAACCCTGTAACACTACATGAGATAATCATTAAGATTAATGCACCGTCATCTTAGCTTTTTTTACACATGAGTCCTTTGGCCATTGGTGACTGCCACCAGCTCAATGAGCAGGCATTTATTTAGAACATATTTTCTACACAAAGAGACAAGACAGAGCAATGAGGTCCCACACAGATGAAGGAGGCAGATCCGACCCATAAGGTGAGAAACCATATAGGAGGAAACAAGCCTTCATGGGACAGCCAGTCTGAAGGTATCTTCCTGTGATAGAACCAGTCTGCTGGGAAGGTGTGTGCCATCTTAGGACTTGATCTGAACTGACATTTAGAGAACCTGCATTCAAATCCTGGCACTGGGAGCCAAGTTCACCACAGGAAAGAGCCCCAGTTTAGATGGTCTACTGGGGCAGAAGCTAGTCCAGTTTGTGTTTCTGTTCAGGTTTTAGGAGTGTCTGTAAGAGCATGAGAGTCTGTAAGAGCATGAGAGCTCTCTTGTTTTGTTTTATTTTTTTGAAACAGGGTCTTTCTATTTATTCCTGACTATTCTGAAACTCACTATGTAGACCAGGCTGGCCTAGAACTCGAGATCTTCTGCCTCTAAAGATTGTTCTGCCACAGCCATCAAAGAGAGACTTTATCTCTACTGCTTGGGAAGCAGTTTCAATGCTGCAGTCAGCAGACACCGTCAAGTCACACAGCTCACACACTGAGCACATTCTTTGTCCCTTTGAAGGTCCAATTCTTTATCCGTAAAATAGGGTTAGTCTTTACCTGTTTAATTAGTAGTTAGTGAGGTCTTCAACAAGTTATTTATCCTCCAAAGTCTCAGCTGCAAAATGTGAGACACGTAAATGAGACACTGTGGAATGCTGAGCAGCATCAGGCTCGGAGCAGGGAGTCAAGAAATATTAGTCATCATCACCTACCTAAGACGTAGCTGGCCAAGGACATTTATGCAACCAGTTCTTTCTAACACTAAATACTGAATGTTTCTGAGCACGAGAGATGGGCACTGCTCTAGGGAGCAGAAGTACAACACTCGCTGCCTGGTGAGGCTTATCCTTTCTTCTAAATTAATCAAGTACTTAGTGGCCATTTACCACAAGTCAGTGAAACAAGTCCTAAATCCCAAGAGGTCCCCAAACTACAGCCAAATTAACTAGGAAAAGTGAGGAGGCTCCAATTTGCGCCACAATCCCACAGGTAGTTTCTCCCAGCAATTAGGCAGGAGAGGGGCGTGGGCCGACTACGGGGTAGGGTTCCTCCCTCACGGCCGCCGACGCGGAACTGGACGACCACCGCACCTAAATGGGGCTCCATCTGGCCGCCGGTCTCAGGTCTCTCGAACCCACCCGGCCACCCGGAGGCACAGCCCGCGGCAGCCACGCCCCCAGGCGACTCCTCCACGCGGACTGCGGCAGCGCCCAAAGTCTCGCCGACCCTGCGAGTCCGCGCAATAACCGAGGCCCTGCAAAGCAGGCCGGGGCCCGCCGGAGTTCCCAACTTCCAAGCCGAGCCGGCGACGCGTGGCGAGCGAGCCCAGGGACCATGAGGCCTGGATTAGGGCCCCGGCCCGCAGGGATGACTGTGCGCTTCGGCCGCGTAGGCATCAGAGCGCGGACTTCGCGCTCCGCATTCCCCCGCCCGCCCGTTGCGGCCCGCTTCGCGGAGCTACCTGCAGGTCCCAGCCGGCTGACTCCAGGAAGAAACGGGCCCGGTCCTCCTCAGCGCCCGTCACCGCCACGAACTCTCTCAGCGCCTCCTGCCGCTCCGCCGCCATCTTCGCCCGGTGCACTTCCCAAACCGCTCCGGCCAACACTGCAACAGAACCAACCCCACTGCTGCGTTCCGGCCTCCGTTCTACTCCGCCCGGCCGCTGGGTGCCTGCCTGTAGGCTCCGCCCCTCGCGGTGCCTCACGCAAAGTCTTCCGTGTGGGAAACCCAACCGCTTTCCGCCCTCTGGTGGCTGCTATGCGAATCGCACCCTAGGGCGAAGGTGGGAGGTTGGTGGATTAAGGAGGGGCTGGTTTTCCCACAGGCCTGTGGGATGTAGGACTCTTGAACAAGTCAGATCCTGCAATTATTCATGGTCTCATCATTTTCTTTCGTTAACTTATTTACTTGTTCATTCATTTCCTTCCTGGAGCATTACCTAGTGCTGTCTATGGCTTGATGTTCTTTCAAGGGCTGTGGATATAACAGAGCAAAACGAAGTACCATGTCTTCTTGTTGCTTTTATTCTTTGAACCTAACAGTCCAATGCTCACAACCTCTCCTTGGTTTCATCTCTTACCTTAATAAAAGTCTTCTGGCTCGCCACTTTTGTATGAAATAGGCCAGTCCTTCCAAATTAAGTTTTTTAAAAAAAGATTTATTTATTATATATACATACAGTACTACATCTGCATTTATGCTGCTAGCCAGAAGAGGGCACCAGAACTCATTATAGATCTGGTATGTGAGCCAACATGGGCTTGCTGGGAATTGAACCCAGGAGCTCTGGAAGAACAGTCAGTGCTCTTAACCTCTGAGCCTTAACCTCTGAGCCATCTCTCCAGCTGCCTTTGCCTCCCGAGTGCTGGGATTAAAGGTGTGCGCCCCCATAGCTTCTTCTGCTTTCAGGCCCCTTACCCTTGATGGTCCTGAAATTTGACTAGGTAGACATTGGTGCTTCCTCACTTCCTCTTTACCTCTGCTCCAAGGGTTTTGTTGCAAACATATTCTGCCTTTTAGGTCCTTAATTTCTATGTTTTACTCTGCCTAGGATGTTTTTCCTTTTTGCTTTAGTTTGTTAACTCTTGCCCATTTACAGGTTTTACTTGCTAAGGGGCCTTGAGGAATTCCTCAGCTCAAATTCTGCTCTCTTTTGAGATAGGGTCTTTCTTGCTTTGTTGACCAGGCTGGTCTCTAACTCACTGAGATCTACCTGTTTCTGCCTCCCAAATGCTGGGATCAAAGGTGTGCACCACCACCATCCGGCCTGACTCCACTTTTTTTTCTTTGTTGTTTCTTTGTTTTTGAGACAGGGTCTCTCTCTCTCTCTCTCTCTCTCTCTCTCTCTCTCTCTCTCTCTCTCTCTCTCTCTGTAGTCATGACTGTCCCCTAGAATTTAGTATGTAGCCCAGACTGGCCTTGAACTCAGAGATATACCTGCTTCTGCCTCCCAAGCTGCCGTGATTAAAGGCTTACTCCAAGCCAGGTAGTGGTGGCACAGTCCTTCAATCCCTGCTACACAGGGGAAGCCTGTGTCAAAGGACCATAATGAAGCCAGGAGCTGGTGGTGCATGCCTTTAATCCCAGCACTCGGGAGGCAGAGGCAGGAGGATCTCTGTGAGTTTGAGGCCAGCCTGGTCTACAAGAGCTAGTTCCAGGACAGGCTCCAAAGCTACAGAGAAACCCTGTTTTAAAAAAAAAAAAATAAAAAAAAGGGGGGGACCAAAATGAATAATAGATAGTAGACAGAGAGACAGACAGACAGACAGACAGACAGACAGATGATGTGCACCACCACACCTAGTATCTGGGAGCCCAGTCTTAAAGGACCAAAACAGACAGACAATATATTTTGGTCACATTTATCCCTTTCTGCAACTCCTTCCAGATCCTCCTGCTCCCTTCCTACCACCCATATTTGTGTCTTTTTGGTTTGGGCCATAAGTACAGTTTCCGCTGTCCATATACTCTTGGATATATGGCCTTCTGCTGGAGAGTGGTCTGTCCACCTTACCAGCGGCCACACCATTAAGAGCTGTTCTCCCTCCCCAGGAAACTATCACTAATCAATAGCTCATCAGGAGTGTGACTTCTTCCCCTGCCTTCCCTCTCCATGCTAAGAGTTTTGTCTGGAGTGAGCTCAAGCAGGTCACAATGCTGTCGGGCAGATGGGAAAGTGCCCTGCTTGGTTCAGAAAATGTTTCTGTGTTGTCATGCACTGCGTCTGGCTCTGACCGTCTTTTAGTTTAGGTGTTTTCTATCTCCTTAGTTGAGTTTTGGTAGCTAAATGTGTGTCTAGAAGTTTATCTATTCTAGATTTTCCCAGTTCCCTGGAACAGATTGTTGTCGTTGATTTTTGAGACAAGAGTTTCTCTGTAGCTTTGGAGCCTGTCCTGAAACTCGCTCTGTAGACCAGGCTGGCCTCAAATTCAGAGATCTGCCCGCTTCTGTCTCCCAAGTGCTGGGATTAAAGGCGTTCACCACCACCGCCTGGCTCACTGGAACATTTTAAAGACATTCCCTAGTGATTATCTGGATTTCAGTTGTATCTCTGGTAATACTACCTTATTTTAACTCTAATACTATTAACTTGTATCTTAAATTTTTCTATTAGTTATTTTGGCTAAGATTGCATCTGTTATATTTACCCCTACAAAAATCAAGTTTTTGTTGCATTGGTCTTTGTATTATTTTGTTTCCATTTCATCAATTTCTGCTCTGAACTTGAGCGAGCGTTGCTGCTATTTCTTCCGAGATTGGCTAGCTCCTGCTTTCCTATGACCTTAACATGTATCATTAGGTTATTTGGGACAGGTATCACTTTTTCTTTTTAGTGCAAGAATTTATAGCTATAAATGTTTCTCCCAGACCCACTTTTAATTAAGTTTTATCTTGCATCACTAGTTCGCATTGATACTACCATCAACAAAGATGAGGAGGTGGCAAAGAAATCAAGAGCTAAAGTCCCACCCGTTTGGTGAAAAGGCTTTAACAGAACACTATGAAATACTGACAACACTTGGCCGTGGAGGATTCGGGGAAGTAAAACTGGCTAGCCATCTACTCACCCAGACAAGGGTAGCAGTAAAAATTCTTCCAAAAGGCATAAGGAACACCTTCATCAAATCAGAAATTGAAATTACGAAAAACCTTGACCACCCAAACATTATTAAACTTTTGCACATAATAGACACCACAAATAACATTTACATGGTTATGGAACATGCCACGGGTGGAGGGCTAATGCACAGGATTGTGGAATTCGGCCTCCTACCAGAAAAAGAGTCCCGGAGGCTATTTAAACAGATGGTATCTGCCCTCAAGTACAGTCACCAAAAGGGATCACCCACAGGGATTTAAAACCACAAAATATTCTGGTGGACCACAAAGGAAATATAAAACTTAGTGATTTCAGTTTAGGCACCAAACTTCTCATGGGACAGAGGTTGGCAGCTTTCTGTGGGACCCTCCCTTATTGTGCCCCAGAACTGTTTGAAGGTCAAGGCTACAATGGCCTTGCAGTTGACATCTGGAGTCTAGGTGTTGTGCTCTACTGTAAGTCCACAGGGTGCCTGCCTTTCCAGGGAAATACTTATACAGGAAGATCTGAAGCAGAAGATCACGGAAGGAAAGTATTCTCTTCAACTCAAGCTGTCACCAGAGCTTTGGGACATGATTGCCAAGTTATTAACTGTAAACCCGGGACAAAGACCAAGAATAGATGACGTTGTGAGCTTTCCATGGCTAAAGCATGGCAGTGAAGGGCCTCCCAATTCCTTCAGAGAGAGCGCCGACAGCCACCCAGACCCCACTGTAATGGTCATCACGGGTGTAATGAGATATAAGCAATGGGAGATAAAGGAAGCTTTACAGGAGAAGAAGTTTGATCAGGTGATGGCTACCTATTTGATACTTAGGCAACCGTCACCCTGGGGGGACACCTTTATAAAAAAAACTTAAGCCAAGGCATTCAGATCGATCTTTGAATTTTACAGGGCTTCCCTCAATGCCAAAAGTGCCCATAAAGAGGGTGTCTAGTGTCCCTACACTTGCCACCTTAAATTTGCCCCCTCTATGTGAAAACCGTGAGAATGGCAGAAAGTATAGAAGGAGGTACAGTATGCCTCCCACCCTGAACTGCCAAGGCGAGAAGCCAGCCCCCATTTGCAGAATCTGCCCCCACCATGTCCTTGAGGCTCACTTCATGAGCAGCTCCTGGGGGGATACAGAAAGCAGCAACACCTCAGATGGAATATGTACCCGAATGTCTTCAGTGTACGCACCACCGGGAACTCAGTGCAGTCAGTCATTCCTGGATGTGTCCAAAGCTACACCAACAATCCAGAGATCAAGGTGTCCTCACTGGATGTTTTATCTCATCACGCCTTTACGGAGAAAGTCCAGTGTGAGAATACCAACGGCAAGTGAAAAGACACGCCCATCTCTCCCACAAATCTCACCTCAGGAGGAGCTCAGGGGACAGCCCCACAGTATGACTGCAGCTGGTTCAAAGAACAACATGACCTTACAGGATAGACCACCTCCATTCTCCAGCAAGGTGGCCCCGAATGAAGGTCCCACAAGAAAAAGACCTCAGGTCATCCTCTCCAGAAACACCCCACCTGCAGGGAGGATTGAAGGGGGGAGGGGAGAGGCAGTGAGGGAGAAGAGAAAAATGTAAAGGTTAATAAATATCAATAAAAATGTATAANCCTGGAACTAGCTCTATAGACCAGGCTGGTCTCGAACTCACAGAGATCCACCTGCCTCTGCCTCCCGAGTGCTGGGATTAAAGGCGTGCGCCACCATCGCCTGCCAGGCTTATATGACTCAGTTTATCCAAACAACTAAAGCTGAACACAGTTAGCAAAGTCATAAGTGGTTAAAAAATATATCTTTAATTCAGCTTTTGCCAACTCAAATAGATCTTAGAAATTTATATATTGTTCCTTATCCAAAAAAATCTTAGAGGCCTCTTGATGCCTCCTTAGTTAAAAAAAAAATCTATTTTTCTAAACAAAAGTTAAATTCAAGTCTATATATACATACACACACATACATACATATATGTACGGTGTGCTGTAGCAAATTAAAATTACCTATACATATATCAGCCCCCCCCCCCCGTTTGGTTTTTTGAGACAGGGTTTCTCTGTCTAGCTCTGGATGACTTGTAGCTCACTCTGTAGACCAGGCTGGCCTCAAACTCACAGAGATCCAGTTGCCTCTGCCCAAGGACTGGGACTAGAGGTGTATATCACCATTGTCCAGCAGTGTGATCAGCTGTTTTGTTACAGATTTTAAGCTAACTTTTTGCTCAGGATCTTACAGATTTTTTAAAAAAAAATAAATGAACTATAAAATCCTGGGATAAAGTCAAAATTTCAGCAAAAGTGTCAAAAATAGAAAGAAAAAAAAAACAAGAAAAAGAAGGGGGTATTCAGCAAGTTAAACAAGTGTGATTTTGCTTGGTCATTTGTAACCTCTGTTGGGAATAGTTTACCTCTTAGCTGTCCCAAGCACGTGGTCTTTATTCCGTGGTTCTGTTTTGTTGTTCTCCCTGTCACAGAGTCAGGGGCAGTCTGACCCAGGACAGGGGCTTTGGAGGAAACCTTTAAACAAACACACTTGGGTCTAGAGTGAGCAGGCCAAATCCCATCTCCAGAGCCAGACTTAGTCGAGTAGACCTGCATGTGCCTTCTTTGGAATCTATGGTGAAGCTTTGGCCATCTCAGCCCCGTTAATGTTAATAAAACACTTTGATACTATACTTTTTCCTTTCTATCAATAAATAAAAGTTTAGAAATGCTAACTGAATAGCTTAGTGATATGATACCAAAAGAATTACTAGAGAATAGTAGAAACAGTTTGAAAAGTCCACTACAGCATCATACATGTCTACTACCTAACTAGAATATAACACAATGAAGTATAGTCATTATCCTCATTACTGTGATTGTTATCTTAAGTCCTTGTTATGGGTTGGATGTGGAACACCAAGGACAGGCTCGTGTGTTTGGCTACTAGGTTCCCACCAGGAGTTGCTCTTTTCAGGAGTTGTGGGACCCTCAGGAAGTGTGGCCCAGATATACAAACAGGGTCAATGAGGGCTTAAATGGTGTTATGTGACTTTTCCTGGGGAATCACAAGCAAATGTCTACTCAGATACAGAACCCATGAAAGACCAAAGTAACAATTCTACCAAAGTCCATCATGATAAACCAACGTGTTTATTGGGTTTATTTACAAGAATCTGGGGCTAATTGCAAGCGCATCAGTGACTCATAAGAAACTACAACACTGAAATGCCCATGCTTCAAACTCACAAGGGCCACAAACCTGGAGCTTTCTACAGGGTTTGCAAACAGCTCCATAGGTAGGAGAATCTCTCCCCCAGCAGTTGTGTCTTATATTTGTAATCTTAGGGAGGGGTCTTGTGACTCCTTTTAGCTTCAGGAACTTCCTCGGATTTGTGAATTTTATTTCTTGAGTTTGGTGAGCCTCCCAGCTCCCTAGTAGAGGTAACACTTCCATTCTGGGAAAAACAAACAAATGGTACACAATATTCTACCCCCTCCTCTGGCTCTTACAATCTTCCCGTCCCCTCTTCCGCAATGTTCCCTGAGCCTTGGAGAGGGTGATGCACATGCGTGCCTTTGATTACGCATTCAGTCCCTATGACACAGTAATAGTCACTCTTTCTCAGGGTCTTCACCAGTGGTTATGAGTCTCCGTCACACACCATCATTTCCAAAAAGGAAGTTTCCTTCTGTGATTGATTGCAGCTGACAGCAACAGTGGTCTATGGGGTAAGGAAGCACAAGTATTTAGAAGGGAGTTTAGGAGACAGACTTATCATGATCGTCCACTTAACCAAACAATAAGAGTTGCTTCCCTATTGGGGCTTTGACTTTGCAGCCACAGGGTTCTGCTTTGGCTTACAGCACCAGACATGAATTCCTTCTGGTCAAGCAAATCTTAAATTTAATCAGAAAGCTGTGGTTGTATCCATAATAGTCATGCCAAATTGTGCCAGAAGGCAGATACTGACTGGTATTGTAGCATACAGAGTCCATAAATGAACAGACACTTCTCCCCCAAGAACCTCTCAACACTATGAAGGCCAGCCAGTGAGGGGGGAACTTCCAGGTCAGTCTCAGCTTTCTTTCTCTATGACCTGTAACCAAAACATATGGTGTTTTCAAGAATGGGGCCTTATCAAATAGTTCTGGCATGTACTCAATAACAGTGCCAGAATCCTTTGTAATTTGTGTACCACAGCAACCTCCAGGTCAACAACCCATAAAGAGGTAGTCTACTCCTAGCACAGGAATTCTTTCAAAATTCTATAACATCTGAGTTTAATTTTCTTCATCTGCCTTCTTTAGCTGTTGCCGCTACTAAATATTTTGCCAAGGGGAGGGATGGTAATGGAGGAGGACCTTAAGGCCAACGTCTCTAATGACCACACCCTTGAAAACTATCATCTTCACTGTGCCTGGGAGCAATGGATAACTCGTCTGACTATGGATCAGAAGATTCTAGGTTTGATTCCTGGCTGGTTTGATATGTGCAGATTACTTTCTGGGCAGTGGAGGTGCACACCTTTAATCCCAGCACTTGTGAGGGAGAGGCAGGCAGACCTCTGTGAGTTCAAGACCAACTTGTCTACAAAGGGAGCTCCAGGACAGGCTCCAAAATTACACAGAAAAACCCTGTCTTCAAAACAAAACAAAACAAAAAACCCAACACTGTTATCACAAAACTTGCTTGGCTCAGGTGTCTTTGAAGGGGTGAAGTTAGCCTGGTCCTCCTCATAGAGACATAGGTAGCAGTGTGTTGAAACATGGTCAAAGGAATGACCCATGGTGAACAATGACTTTGGGAATTGCTAGAGAGGTTCCAGGAAAAAGGCAGAGGGTATTATTACCTCAGATACATTTTGTTCTTGGATGTGATTTTGTTCCTCCTGTGTTAAACATTTACATCCAATTTACAAGACAAGTTTATTCTTGTTAGATGTCGGAACATAGCTACGGAACCCAATCTGGTGATAGGATATGCTGAGTGTCGTCCTCAGGACACCCTGAATCTGGATACGGCCCTCAGTCTTTCTTTCATGCTGTCCCAGATATAATCTATAGTACACGCCAGGCAAATCGTGTTTAAATTGGTCTGTCCTGGGAACGTTCTAGGAAAAGGGCTGTTCTATTAATATTTAGTATCTGCTTCCTGACATCTTTGCATGTCTTTTAAATCAAACAACCTTTCCTGGATCATTGCATTCTTTGCTATATTTGTATATAAAAGTACACTGGAAATGAAGTAAGGTCTGCCCCATTCTTTCAGGTCCTCAGGCCACAGGTTCAGCAGACAAGATCTGCACAGGCCAACATAAGTTGACAGCAGTAAAATCCTGAAGTGGGAAAGAAGAAAGCCTGCTTTACCATGTCTGAGGTTGAGATAACGAAAGTTTTAGAGCATCCCAATGTTCTCACACTCTACCACACCACTGACCTTACACAACACCTGTATCGTCATGGCACAAGCCTCGTAGGTGAGCCAGGTTACAGAGAGTCATGGCGTCAGTGCAGAGTGCCACAGCGGATGAACTATGTCATCGTTTGGATTCTGCAGAAGGATGCTCATAAACTATTCTTAAACTATTCAAGCAGGTAGTATGAGTTCTCCAGTATTGTCACGAAAAAAGGAAATAGACACAGGTAATTAACAACAGAAAACATCATGTGGACAACCAGGGGGCATGAAATAAGTAATTTTGGTGCCTGCTTCAGCAGCACATATACTAAATCTGGAACGATACAGAGAAGCTTAGCATGGCCACGTGGAAGGATGACGCTCAAATTTGCCAAGTGTTCCATATTTTTTTTTAAAAAAAATAAGTGATTTTGGCCTGAGTAACAAACTGAGAACTGGGGAGAAGTTGATGGCCTTCTGTGGTACCACTGCATGTTGTGCACCTGAATTCTTTAGGAACGGTGTATGATAGGCTTGCTGTGAACATCTGGGCAATGGAAGAAATGCTCTTATTTTGTGGTTACTATGTCTTGTCTCCCTTACTTAAAAATAAAGGAAATGCATGTGTAGGTAGAAAATATTATAAAATATTGTATTATCCCTTCTTAACTTTCTCTAGAACTTTATGACATGATCAATCCATGGCTGGCCACTGACCCTGGGCAGAGTCCCAACTAGGCCACATAATAAGACATCCGTGTATGAACCATGTGATCAACTTTCCCTGGGTTCTTTAACAAATTCCCAACCAACTAGAATCCTACATGAATTTACAAATAGGTTTGTGGTGCAGCCTCCAAAAAACCCAACCTCTTTAAGACAGAAAAGCAGGAGGAGATAGCACTTAACTGTGCAGCAGTTTGTCCATGGAGAGGACAAACTGACAAGCATTTTAAGACTTGGAAGCAGGGTAGCACCATCACCTCTGCACATCCTCCCACCTTCCTTCTCTGCCTGAGGGGACCCAGTTTCCCTGCCACCCCACTCCCACCTTGCCCACTAAAGGCAAGCTTCCGTCATGACGGGAAGGGTGAAACAGTGCACAGCACATCTGCAACTCTGTGCTGCCTGAGAGGAGCCAGCCGGCATCAAACTCTAACAGAACATACCCTAGGCTAGCCAGGAGGCCTCACGCTGTGAGCAGCAGCTGGAGGGAGATGGACAGCACCATCATGCTTAAAGATGTACTATGGACCTGCCCATCTTCAGAGAGTTCATT